CCCTGAGATTGGGTAAACCAGTATAAATCTTGGTTGTATTTCTCTAAACCTTTATCTCTTTAATTCTGATGCTACCTTTATTTTAATTGTTTGTTTTGCTTGATTCAAGAATTGGTCAGAACTCTTAATCTTTGAAATAGATAATCTGTAAATTGTGAAACTCTTTCAAAGATCAAGTCATCCCCTTCTTGATCTCAGCCTCTTTTTCTAACAATATTTGGATATCACCCATATCTTACTCTTCTAACCATCGATATTATGTATTATTTCTTTATTATTTCATAATTTTATTTTGGAATTTTCCCATTTCTAAAAAATAAAAAATTTATTCCATTTCTCAATCTTTTCAAAATCTAATTAAAACCCAAGTTAAAAGAAACATTAAAAAATTGCAATATGATAATGAAAAGGAATTTTTTAATGATTCATTTAAAAAATTTTGTGAACAAAGTGGAATTAGGTTATCTTGCCCTCACATCTTTCCTCAAAATGACAAAGTTGAACGGTATATTAAATCTATCGAGGTTATAAGTGTTATGATCTTTAAGCAAAATAATAATTATTTCACGTCATTTAGTTTTTGATGTGGCACAATTTTCTTTCTCAAAAGTACGTGATCCATCTCCAAAAGAATATAAACCCCTTAAGTAAAGACACATTTCCACACTTAATTTATCACCTACAAACCTATGTACCACAAAATTAAATAACATAACTCACACTTCCTCTTACACATATAGGCCCAAGCTCTCAACCAACGTCACCCTCTCCTGAATCGACCTTGTCCCCCTCACACCAATCATCTCTCAACCTCACCAATTACTACTCCCTCTTCTCAAACCTTAACTCGTCAACCCACAATAACCAATCTCAGACCTCCCTACATGATCACTCGTAGTCAACGTGATATAATTAAATCAAACCCAAAATATATCCATAAATTGAGTACTTTGACCACCACCTTTATTTATTCTTTACCTAAGAATCCAATGAATGTTTTTCATGACCCAAACTGGAAAAAAATGTCATGACTGATGAATATAATGCTCTAATTCAAAACAAGACATGTGAGTTGGTACCTTGTCCCCTTTATATAAATATAATTTTGTCTATGTGAATTTTTGACATAAACGTAACTCTGATGATTCTTTTGAGAGGTATAAAGCTCGTATTGTAGATGGTGGCAGGTCACAAAAGAAAGGAGTAGATTGTAATAAAACATTTAGCTCGGTAGTGAAACCAACTACCATTCAAATGATTTTAACCATTGTTTTGTCCAAATCATGACCCATTGATCAACTAGACGTAAAAAATGTATTTTTACATGGTAATATAAATGAAACCATTTATATGCATCAACCCATGGATTTTAAGGATTTCTCTCATCCTGATTATGTTTGCTTGTTAAAGAAGTCACTCTATGACCTAAAGTAAACCCCTCATGCTTGGTACCAACAATTTTCAGATTATATGACCACAATCGGTTTTAAACATTGTAAATTTGATAACTCTTTATTCATATATCATAAGGAGTCTGATATTGAATATTTTGTTATATGTTGATGATATTATCTTGGTGGCTTCCTTTAATTCTTTTAGAAAGTTCATTATGTCATTCTTGAGTGTATAGTTCGCTATGAAGGATCTCGGTCAACTCAATTATTTTTTGGGGATTGTAGTTACCCGTCATGCAACTAGTATGTTTCTCTCATAGAAAAAAGTATGTAGAAGAAATTCTTGAAAAAATAGTGATGACTAATTGCAAAATTTGTCCCACACTAGTTGACATAAAGCCCAAACTTGGTGCTTGTAATGACATTCCGTACAAGGAGGATCTTACTAAATATAGACGTCTTGCTAGAGTATTGCAATATTTCACTTTTACAAGGTCTGACATTTCTTATGCAGTGCACAAGTATGTCTTTATATGCATGACCCCAAGGAAGAGCACATGCATGCTCTCAAGCGTATTTTACGTTACATTCAAAGTACTATTGATTTTGGCTTGCATTTGTACAAATCCAATATTGGAAACCTCCTCTCTTACATAAGATGCAGATTAGGGTGAATGTCCATATATTAGATGGTCTACATCTAGGTACTGTGTTTTTCTTGGTGATAACTTGATTTTTTGGTCATTCAAATGACAACCTATATTATCTTGTTCTATTGCAGAGGCTGAATATTGAGGAGTAGTTAATGTTGTTTCTAAATCTTGTTGAATTCGAAATCCAATATTGAAAACCTCCTCTCTTACATAAGATGCAAATTAGGGTGAATATCCAAATATTAGATGGTCTACATCTAGGTACTGTGTTTTCCTTGGTGATAACTTGATTTTTTGGTCATTCAAATGACAACCTATATTATCTTGTTCTAGTGCTGAGGTTGAATATTGAGGAGTAGCTAATGTTGTTTCTAAATCTTGTTGAATTCGAAACCTTCTTTTGGCGCTTCATTGTCAAATTCAAAAAGCTACATTAGTGTAATGTGACAATGTAAGTGTCATTTATCTATCGCGTAATGTTGTACAATATCAACACACAAAACATATTGAGATGAACATACACTTTGTACGTGAGAAAGTTGTTCGTGGCGAAGTCCATGTACTTCATGTTCCGTTCCACTATCAAATTGTTGATATTTTAACCAAAGGCCTTCCGCGTGTAATATTTGATCATTTTTGGAATAGTCTAAACGTTTGTCAACCTTTCACTTCAACTAAGGGAGTGTGATAAATATTATGTAAAATAATGTATTATTATTTTGAAAATATTTTATAGTATTAATTATCTAAAGATTCACCTAAAATTTAACTTGTCAATTATAATAACAACATAAATTATAACTTATATTTTTTATATATTCCTAATTAATAAAAAATAAATTATAAATAATTTCCTATATATAAATATAATAATTTTTTAAATTTATCTAATAAAAATATTAATTAATAAATAAAGATTTAAAAATATTTAAATAATTAAATATATATATATATATATATATTTATATATAAAAATATTAATAATGACCACCAGAAGTAAGTCTCTTTCATCCCATTCTTAATAAACTAGTCACGTGATAAATAAAAATATAATATCACAAGTATTTTAACATGCTTTAAAGAAGTCTAGATAAATGTAATTTATTGAAAGATGTAATATATATTGTTCTTTATAGTATTTTTAAAGGAGTTTTAATAAAAATTACTTAAAAATAAAGTTAAATATTTAAAAATTATTTAAAAATCAAATTAAATATTTTATTATGGATCTTATAATTAAAGTATTTATAATTAAATTATTTAGTCAGAATTTTTATCAAAATAATTTTTTTTTAATTTTAAATAATTTTTTTATTTTTAAACTATTCAAATATATGATTCATAATAAAATATTAATTTTTATTCTTAAATCCCTTCTAAATATTATCACATTTTGGGAAACACGGTCGTTTTAGTCTCATTAGCCGTTAGAGAGGAAATATATCGTGCAATTCTATAAAAATAGTAACTTCTAATTTTTAAAATAATATTTATAAGATTTTAAAAAAATTGCTAAAAGAGACTAACATTTATTTTGCTTTCTGTTTGATAAGGGGAATTTATGTTTTAGTTAATTTATTCAAATTCAAGTGTTTTAAAAAATGTTATAAAAAGCAAAAAATATATAAATATTATATTCATATGTAAATAATGTCGAAATTAGTTATCAATATATATTATTAAAAAGTGAGAGATGTTTCGTAATTAAGAAGATACTTGATGAAAAAACTTATTCGAGAGATATAGTTAAAAAAAAAAAAGTGCGTAAAAGAATGAACATAAAAGGAAACATAAATTAAAAAAACGCATGTTTTCATTCTGATGTTCAACAAGCATAGTCAACTAAAATCCCTCCTTCATCTTTTTATGACATATTTAAGTAAATGATCAATTTCGTTTTTAAATTTCACTCTCATACTAATAACTTTGAAAGTAATAATAAACTCTTCGTTTTTTTTGGAATGTCATTTAAATTCCTCTTTTTTGTGTGCCTAGTCCAAAGACTTAAACGTACGAAATCTTGAAAAAAATATTATTCAAGTTTTTAGTCTTAGAAATTAAATGACAACGGAATATTTTTAAAGACTAAATGAACTATTTACTCGAAACATTTTTCCATACTAATTAACATTTTTAAACTTTAACATATTTTTTAATTTATTTTTTCTCAAGAATTTCACATATTGTGAAATTTTCTAAAATTACCATCATATAATATATGCAAATCTACTTTTTTTCCTTCTCTTTTTTTTTCATTATTTTTACTTTTCTCTCAAACTTATTATAATTATGGAAATTAATGTAAAATATTCTTTTTTTCTGAATCACTAACTTTTATAGAAAAAATTGATTGAATTTCACACTTTATTTTTTTCATTCTAACATGAAACCTTGTTGAAAGAGATTGTATTTTTGTCTTTTCACTGATTTATTAATTTATTAATAATCTATCAATAAGAAATTAAATTGACAAATGGCAACTACACTCCTTATTTTGCTATTTTAACTACCAAAACCGAATAGAAGGCCATGTTCAATCCTAACCAAACCAAACAGGCCTAAACCCAATAACTTTAAAAATATAATATATATATATATATATATATATATATATATATATATATATATATATATAATAGTAAACAATAAATAATAAAAAAAAAAGCATAAAACTTCAGTGCCGACGCCGACGAGTGTGTCGTTGGGTGTTCATATTCCAACATGATACCGCGTTCGTTCACTCTCAACTTCAATTAATCAATCACCAAAACCAATCCCCATTTCTCTCTCCTTCAAATCTCATCTTTGCAAAATCTGAATCAACACACAGTGAAGACACACAAGAAACATCTCACTCAGCCACACCAACGACACTTCAGATCTACGTTTTCTACTCCCACAACAAAAAAAAGAAACAAGCAATCAAAAATCGATTTCTCCTGGCGCCCTCAAAATGGCGCGTACACCCTTCACTTCATTCCCCTTCTTCTTCGTTACACTTCTGTCAATTCTCCACCTTTCGCGCTGCAAGACCCTAAAGCGTGATGGTAACGTTAACAACTTAGCTCAGCCCCTTCTCCCATGCTGTTTTCTCACAACTTTTCTCGAATTCCGTTGATTGGGTTGTCGATTTTTGCTTTTTCTCGTGATGGGTTGGAATCGCTTATGTGTTCCTCGAATGTTTTGCAGTTAAGGCTTTGAACGAGATCAAGGCTTCTCTTGGGTGGAGAGTGGTGTATGCGTGGGTCGGTGATGACCCTTGTGGAGATGGGGATCTTCCTCCTTGGTCTGGTGTCACGTGTTCCACTGTCGGTGATTATCGTGTCGTCACCGAGCTGTGAGCATCCTTTCTCAATTTTCACTTGATTTGGACAATTGAATTAAAATGCCCATTATATTTTGCAAGATAAAGGTTTTGATTTTTACGTTCAGTTGTTGCTGATGTGATTTGTGGTATAAAGTTGGTGTAATTGGGATTTGGTGTTTTGCAGTGAGGTGTATGCTGTGTCGATTGTGGGACCTTTTCCTACTGCAGTTACCAGCTTGCTGGATCTTACACGGCTGTAAGTTTCCTTTTTCATTAAATTATGTTTGATTTAATTTTGTTCCTCTTAACGGGTTGAGAAACATGTGGTGTTGATTAACGCCTATGGTGTTGGAGTGAGATGTTCGAAAGCCAGATACCGTGTTCTGTTTGTGTGTTTTACATATTAGTTTACGGGAGAAGGAGGAATTTATTCGGTTGGTTTTTCTTGGTTTGCTGCGAAATAATAAATAATAAATTATGAATGGAAGATTCAGATATACTTGTTAAGATGATGCATTGTTTGGCTGCAGTTTATCTGCGTTTTGTTTTGTTTGTTTTAAATTACAATTACTATATGCGTGACATTAATGCTTCCGTTGTGGCAGTGATCTTCACAATAACAAGTTGACAGGGCCTATTCCTCCTCAAATTGGACGGTTGAAGCGTCTAAAAATACTGTATGAATTTTCTAATCCCTGTTCAGTTTTGTGTTCTCTTTGCATTTTGTTCTGATACTTATATTTTTATGTGATGCAGTACAATAATTAGACAAGATTTTGATGTTAAAAACTGTTGTTATTTAAGAAGATTTTGCTTTTTACTGGGTTTCTATGAAACAGTGGTTTATCATCTAATATTCTTGGTTCTAAGATGTGATATTAGTGGCCTTTGTTTCATTCCAGAAATTTGAGGTGGAACAAACTGCAGGATGCAATTCCTCCAGAAATTGGTGAGCTTAAAAGTTTAACACATCTGTGAGTTACTCTTTCCTTCCTAATGTCTTTGGGCTTACTTGTCCTTTTTTCACCATTGCTTTTATTTTATTTAGAGTTGTAATTGTAATGTCATATCTTTATGCAGGTACCTAAGCTTCAACAATTTCAAAGGAGAAATTCCCAAGGAGCTAGCAAATCTGCCAGACCTTCGCTATCTTTATCTCCATGAAAACCGTTTAACTGGAAGAATACCACCAGAGTTGGGCACTCTGCAAAACCTTCGGCACTTGTAATAATCACATTTTAATTTAAAAATCTTCTAATGCAGAGTACACTATTTATCTTATTTAATGTTTCCTTATTATAAGTATAATATTGTTATCCTTTATAGGGATGCAGGTAACAATCATTTGGTGGGTACCATGAGGGAACTCATTCGCGTTGAAGGTTGCTTTCCAGCGCTACGCAATCTGTAAGTTATTGCTGGTGAATTATTTTCCTCATTATATTAGCATTTGATGTTAAATAAAATGCAGTGTTCCTTAAATTTTAATGTTTTTTAGTTTTGGAACCAGATATCTGAACAATAATTATTTTACTGGAGGAATACCTGCGCAACTTGCTAACTTAACCAGTCTTGAAATCTTGTGAGTGCTGCTTTTCATTCTTTCTCTTTGTACCACTTATCATTCTTCCTACCTCCTTTGAGTGTGTGTGTGTGTGAGAGAGAGAATAGGGACAGTATTGCTTTACAATAATTTTATTCTTTTCAAGACTATCTCTTATTTCTTGGAATTTCCATAACATGATTATTAAATATTGGAGGCAGGTACCTGTCCTACAACAAAATGTCAGGAGTTATACCATCTAGCATTGCTCATATTCCTAAATTGACATACTTGTAAGTTTGTCTTTCTGCTGTTAATTGGAATCTTCATTAAAAGTGTTGTACATCAAATTGGGACTAAGTTGTTTTTAAATATTTCATGAAACTCTCGATTTGTATTTTGTTGCTACTTACTTATCTTTTACTTTTAATGTATGTCTTTGTTCTATGGTTTACCAAATGAAGAAGGGTCCTCATTTTTTTTGGACAGATGTTTGTTGAGAAGCTAGTCTTGGGGTACCTGATTAGGTTTAGTAGTTGGAACATTGGTATTTCGATTGGTGACTTTTTGGAGGTAGTGGATAATATGATTATGAGAAAGATTAACATTATGTGTCTTCATAAAACAATGGGTTGGAGAAAAAGTTACAAAGCCAGATACTACACAAGTTAAACTTTGGTATACTAAGAAAGTTGGAGGTAAGAACAAAATGGGTATTATTGGAGGAAAGTAGCAGAAGTAAAAAAATCTGGGACTAAAATTTTACCTTAAATATGGGAGACTATTAATATTATTAATTAATGCTTATGCACCACAAGAAGGGTCAGAAGTACTTTTAAAAGAGAAGTTCTGGAAATATTTTGGTTCACATTTTTCCACAGGAGTAAAAGATTCAAATGGGCGGGGATTTGAATAGACATATTGGTAATGAGGCTAGTTAACAAGAGTTCATGGTGGTTTTGGTTTTGGAGATCTAATTGAATAGAGACAGTATTTTTTATTTCTCTCTGATGTGATTTCAAGATAGGAAGGCTTCGTTTAAGAAATGAGAGGAACATTTAATCACTTAGATGAATGGATTTTTATTTTTTGGTGAGGAGTTTTTCTAAAAGAGTTCGTAAGAATTGCAGCGATTCTAAAAGAAAGTCTTACTACACAAAATAGGGTCTTGATCTTAGAGCCATAAACAGAAAAGTTGACAAGTTACAAATCCAAGAAAAAAGTGGTTATTGTTAAAATTTGACTTCAGAAAAAATATTGGAGGGAGGTAATCGGGAACCACAAGGTAGTGCTCGACGTCAAATGTTAGAGGAATTGTTGAAGGAGCAAGTGATAAGAAATCTTGGTAGTGGAATGCGAGTGTTCAAGGAAAGAAATAAAAGGGAGTTTTTTAAGGATTTACACGGGTGCAATAATGCTGAACATTGGGCAAGATGATGGAAGGCTAGAAATGAAGTAAGGAAAGTTGTGAATGAGACACTATCCAAGGCTTTTGATGAGTTTTAGCTAGATCTTGGGACTACTAATAAATGAGGAACATATATATATATATATATAGCTTGCCAGAAGTAGGGAAAAGAAACCAAGATTTTGGACTAAGGTAAGATAAGATGTATTAAAGATTAAGAGACATTTTTAGTAACTGCTATGGATCAAGATACCAAAGAAAGATGGATAACTGTTTTTCGAAATTTTTCAATGTGTAAGGATTGATATGTACCATTGAAGAATTAGAAAATTAACGGGAATAACAAAATTTGGCTTATTATTTTAGAATTAGAATGATTGAGATGGAATAAGCCTGTAAGAAGATGATATTAGTTTAGAGAATTTGGTTGTTGACCGAGTTCAATGACATTGTGTGATATTTAGAGTTAACCTCAAAGTTATTGTTGTTGCTGTTCTGTAAAGATTTTCGTATTTTAACTGGATACATCACAAAATCCAACGATGTGGGCTAGTATGAAACATCGAAGTATAGGTGTCATCTAGAAATGGACGCAAGTGTATGCCTTCCCTTTTTTGGTTTGAGGCATATAAACACTATATTTTAGGCATTGAGTTCTCTAAATGCAACAAGAACTAGAAACACATGCTTTCATTTATTAATTCTCGCTGGAATACTATGGTCTTAATGTGTTGCTGTGAGCTTCAACTATATACATTTGGCTCAGAATGCAAATTTTCTGAGGAAAAAGGAAATTGAAACTTTGCTTTAATTTCCTTTCCATATGGTAGTAAGATTTAAAAATATGTTCTCAAATACTTGCAACAAATTCGATTGAGTAAAGTTAATTTCAAGATTTTTTTTTTCTCTGTTTATTTCAGGTATTTGGATCACAATCAGTTTTCAGGGAGAATTCCTGATCCCTTCTACAAGCATCCATTTTTGAAGGAAATGTGAGTTTCCAATAAAGTTTTGCAAGTCACAAACTATTAGTTCTTAGAACTGAATAGTTTTATGTACTCTTGGCAGGTACATCGAAGCAAATGCATTCCGGCCTGGTGTGAAGCCCATTGGTTTTCATAAAGTGCTTGAAGTTTCTGATTCAGACTTCCTTGTTTAATAGAAGCTCTAAATATTTATAATTTTTCAGGAAGTGTACTTGTATAATTATTGAAACAATTGTTCTACCTCAATGAAATAGCCACATAGGTAATTCAATTTTGTCTAATCTGTCTTGTCATAATAAAAGTCGTTTTTAGTTACTATTCTAAGAGCTTTCCACGTTTCCAACAAGTTGTAACATATAGTCATGATTCATGAACACTTATCAACTTCAAAAATTGAGAAATGATATTTTCTCAGTAAAAAATATTACTATGCAGGAAATGAAAAATGAATCCTTGTTGGACTCTCTAATGAGAGCATTTGCTTCATTTAGGATAGTGGCAAATGAATACCTGTTGGAATCTCTATTGAAGACATAAGACAAAAGATGGGTATTATATTGAATTTCAACTACTGAAGTGTAATGGCTGAATAAAATTTACAAGTGAATTTATTTCCTTTTCTTTTTGTTCTAATGAGTATTTCGTTTTCAAATTTCAATTCCAACATCCCGTGTTCCCTGTGTCAAACGACCAGAATTGGAAGTTGTTGATGTAACACTAGACTTGGTGTTATAAATTAGTCATCCAGCTAAAGGAAATGGTTAAAATAATTGAATAAATAATCTAATGATTGTAATCTAACTGCATATGTATTTTCTCCAAAATTGAGTGTATTTCTTTCATCATTGGATCCGTTTCTTCGCCAGCAACGAACTCGCTCACAACCCCACCAATCTCCACTGAGCTACTACCTGGTACCTTGTCCAACCCTTTGTTTCTCATGATATCCCTCACCCTAATCGCATCACTGTGTTTCCCAGATGCTGCATATACATTAGAAAGCAAAACGAAGACCCCACTATGATTCTCCAACCCTAACAGTCTTTCAGCTGCACGTTCGGCTAGTTGGGCTTCTCCATGGTTGCAGCAGGCGCTCAGAAATGCCCTCCAAGCCAATGTCTCTTCTGTGCCATTCCATGAGTTGCTTATTCTTCCCACCATAGCCATAGCTTCTTCAAAAAGCCCGGCTCTGCTTAACAAGTCAACTAGACAACTATAATGTTCACTCTTAGGCTCAATTTTGTACGCACTACCCATCTTATGTAGCAACTGCAAACCTTCATATGCCATTCCTGAATAACTACAAGCGCTGAAAATAGCAACGAATGTTATGTCATCAGGCTTTATCCTAGCCTTTTCCATATCTGAAAACAGCTTGAGTGCACTTGCTACATCTCCATGCATAGCCATACCAGAAATCATGGCATTCCAACACACAATGTCTCTCTCTGGCATCATATCGAACAATCTTTTAGCCAAGTCCAAATTCCCACATTTGGCATACATGTCTAACAAACTGGTACTCAAACGAATGCTCAATGGCACCGTTGCTCGATTCAAGTATCTATGAATCCAAATGCCAATATCCAAAGCCCCCAAATGAGCACAAGCAGAAAGAATGCTCACAAATATAGACTCATCAGGCACCACTTCAGTCAACTGCAACAAACGAAACAAATAAAGTCCTTCCTTGAAGCAACTATTTTGCACATACCCAGAAATCATGGCACCCCAAATTGCCCTATCCTTCTCGGGTGCTTCATCAAAAAACAACCTAGCTGAATCAACAGCACCCACCTTTGCATATCCCGAGATCATCACACTCCAAGACACTGCACTCAACCTAGGAATTTCATCAAACACGTGCCTTGCAGCTACAACATCCCCACAAACAGAATACATTGCCATCAAACTATTACCCACAAAGATATCAAACACAAGACCCGATTTTGAACTGTACCCATGAACTATTTGCCCCAAAGAACAGCTTTGAAGGGCTGCACAGGCCTTCAACACATAAGGGATGGTGTAATTGTCAGGGAGCAAACCACTCTGCAGCATCTTGGTGAAGACATGAAGAGTGGCATAGAACTTGGCATTGAGGAGGAAAGTTTTGATGAGAGTGTTACATATGCAAAGAGTGGGGTGGTGAATGTGTTGAAAGACTCTGCGTGCGTAGGAGAGGCTTCCCTGATTAGGATGGGAGCAGAAAGCCAAAAGCCTGCTCAGGGCAAAGGTGTTGGTGTGAAGGCCAGTGGTGAATACTTGAGCATGGGCCTGCTTGAGGTGCTTCATGTTCTTGCATTTCTCCAACAGTACTAGGCATCTCTTGCTGCAACTTGACATGGAATGGTGAAACTAACTGCATTCACTGCATCGCAATTTGAGGGCAAATAAAAATTGGATTATACAGTGGAACCAGATGGATCATCTTCCATTCTTACTTTTGTAAATCATACAATGATCAATTTTCTCAAGCATTCACTCTCTGTTCACTCTACTATCTACCATCAATCTATACATCACTCATTTTTTTCCACACAACAAAAATCAACAATTTTACTTCTAAGTGACTAAATGATAGTTTAAATATTTTAAATTGCTAATCAATTTGAAAAAAATGAATATTTTTTAAAATGATAATGTTTGTAAAAGAAGTAATAATTATGTTGAAGAAAAACACTTTAACTACATTTTAGCTCCCTTCAAAACTTATTAATAGACACTGACATATTTTCTAAATTTAAAAGAAAAATACTCATTGTTTTTTTAATAAAATGATACTTTTGATTTTATTTAAAAATAATACATTAACTAAATCTTATATTAAATAATTAACGTGAAAAATATATATTGCAAGAGTATAACAAATTATATCTTTAAAAAACGTTGTTTTAATATATAGAAATAAATAATTGTAAAATATATAGCTAAATTTATGAATTTATTATTATACTTTTATATTATTTTAATACAAATATAAATATAATTAATATAGAGTACATCCTTTAAATTTTCCAAATTATTATTTTCATAACTGTTTTAGGTGAAACAAAATAATGAAAATATTATATTTGTTTAATTTAAAAATAGAAGGGTTTAATTTGTTAAAGTAAAAAACTATCCTATCGAGTAAAATAAATGTAATTAAGCTATATCTTTTAGAAATATCAATTTCTCATCTATATACTCCATTCTAAAATTTATTGTAAATAGAGCTTCAAACTTTTAAACTTCCTATCAGTCAACTTGGCATCTCCTAAAAAACCTTGAATTTTTTTCTTCTTTTATCATGATCATCTACATCTTCGTACCAGTCATTATTTATAGGATTGATGTCGAATTAAAATCGATCATCATGATCTTATTCAATATCACATTTGAATATATATCTTGAGACAAATATATTACTCACTCATCATCGTATTTCTTAACATACATCTCATTGAGCACATCTTTCAAATATATCAACCACACTCGAACACTTCAATCATGATTATTAACCATTCTTTCGCAAACTCTCCCTTCATGATTGAGAATCCAAAGATCGCACAATTTTTTTTATATGCTTGACAATACGAACATCACACAAATAAGTAGAATAAAAAACTATATATAATTTTTTTAAGTTAAAATTATTAATTAATTATACTCAAGAGTTGGAGATTAGATTAAATATAATTTTTATATTTTTTTTTGTAAATCTAATATTTTGTGAAAGTAAAATCATAATAAATTAAAAATTAAAAACTAATAATATTTTGAATAAGATAATTTATTCTAAAGATATAAAAATAATTTAAATATCTTGGACGTTAATCTCGTTACGATAACCATAAAAATCTTTAATTTCAGTTTAATTCAAATTATGTTATGATATTAGAAAATAATTTAGCTGGTGTAATGCATTAATGTTAAGAAGTGATATGTGGTATTAAGAAAATTATTTTATTTTAGGTTTCACATGATATTAGGATAATGATGGTTAGATGTATATGAGTTAAGAAAATTGAATAATTTATGAATAGTGAGTTATATGGTAATAAATTAGTTTCTTATATGAATGAAAATCTTAATGATTTTTATATGATTTGTTCAGCTAAATGTTACTCAAGAATTCTAATAATTTATAAAATTTACTTAACTGAAAATTTTGTTGTTCAATTAAATTTATGAAAAAGAAATTTAATTGATTTGTTTAATTTATTTTAATATAAATTTTAATTAATATAATAAATTTAATATAATTTAATATATTTTATTCATCTATTTATGATAATCAGATCATTAGAAAATATGGAAAGATGTTGAGTCGATTTTAATGTATCTCATCATTTATAAATCATATTTTTGTTTTTATCTATATTAATATCATTTAACACCACATTACATTAAACATTTAATGTAATATTTATTTAATCTTTTAATAACTTAAACATTAAAAATTAAAAAAAGTGATATATGTACAATACTTTAAAAATAATAATTAAAAAATTAATTGATTTACATTAATTGATTCTTTTAGGCAACTGCATCTAAAAAATAAATGTCTTTCTGTAATATAATTCTCTTTATATTTATTTTGTATCTACTTTAGGTAACTGTATCTAAAAAAATAAATGTCTCTCTAAATTGTAAATATTTTTTCCATTTTATTAAAATTAATAATAAATTTACTACTTAAAATAATTTTACTCTCTATAGTTTTCATAATTTGAACATTTAAATTTAAATTAAAAAAATACTCTGATTTAAATTAATTGATTACGTCCTAAATTTGATGAAAAGTTATGAACTTTATATATAAATTTCATGAAAAAAAACATTATATTATCATACTTTTTAAATTTCTTAGAAATCTTTAAAATTTTTATCTAAATTTTATATAAAAAAATTATTTAAACTGAAGAATAACTAAGATAATATTTTGAAAACAAGATAAGATTTAAAAAAAAATACGTAATATGAGTGATATGATAATAAGTTTTAGAGATATATTTATTAAATATGATAGAAAATCATTGATAAGAAGTTGCAGAGACATACTTATTAGAAATGATAGAAAATCATTAATGAAAGTAATTTTGAATTCGTTGAAAAAGTCAAGTATATATTTCCTTTCTTTTATTTTCTCATTCACTCATCTCTCTTATATTCTTCTTTATTTCTCTCTTCAACTTATATTCTTATCTCTCTCTTTTCAACTTTCATCCTGGTCAGAAGAAAAAATTCATCTGAATATCCAGATTCAGATTAAATCGGGTATTTCTTGATTCTCCATTCATCTATATATTTTTTATTTTTTAATTTTTAATCATGCATAAAAATACAAACTTGATATTGTGTTTTTAGCTGTTTATTTCGCTTTTCAATGGTGTTAATAGATCTATTGAAGTAGTGTAAATGTGCATTTTTATTCTCTTATGTTAATGCAATCGTGTTTTTTTTTAACTTTTTTATATATTATGATTGGTTATTTTAGTTTTTTTTTATTAATTGAAATAGGTTGTTGATATGATATTTGTTTATAATATACCTAAAGTTAAATAATTTTAATACTGAGAGACATGTGATTTAAATTTAAAAGATAAAATAAAATTTATTTTATGTTTGGTGAGTTTTCAATTGTATGAAAAGATAGACATGACTTTTTCTAAGCGCATGTTTACAAAGTACCAGTGTCAGTTTCTGTACATAAATTCTTCAAACTAAAATCTTATTTTATGTTTGATGTAAAAGGTTTCAAGTTTTGACGATGAGTATGAATGTCAGTGAGATGTTGGACCTTTCAACTTCTTCTTATACTGTATTCTACGATGAATTATCGATTGAAACGACAGTTACTAACGAAAGCAACACAGTAGAACAGTGGATTTCATCAACAAATGTTAAAAAACAAAGAGTTGTTGGTTTAGACACAGAATGGATGCGAGTGGAGAAGGGTAAGATGAAAGTTGCAATTTTGCAACTTTGTATTGAAAATAAGTGTCTGATCATTCAATTGTTCTGCATGAATAAGATTCCTCAGTCTCTAAGGAATTTTTTAATGGATTCTACACTTGAATTTGCTGGAGTTGGAGTGATGAACGACATGAACATGCTTGAGAAGAATTATGGATTGAAGTGCAATAAAGGCATAGATGTGGCTGTATTAGCAAAGAAAAGATGGCCTAACAGGATTTCTTCTGCATCGTTGAAATATTTGGCAAAGGAGTTGCTGGGTCTTGAAATGGAGAAGTCAAAGGCTGTGTGTACAAGTGATTGGAAATCAAAGAAGCTTACTGAAACACAAGTAGAGTATGCATGCATTGATGCATATGTTTCTTATAAGATTGGTAAAATGATAATCTCAGATGAATGAAAGTAGTCATTAGATTCATTTTTACCTGTTTCTGAAGATATGTCATGTTGTTTTGCTGTATTACTGTATTATTTGAACTCATCTTCTGAATTTGCTTTTATTAGAAATGTTTAAATAAACATTAATTTATCTTTTTATCTTTTTATTTTTTTATTATTGTCTTTTGGCATATTCGATTCTTCAAAAACTGTTGTAGCATGCTCTTTCAGTAAGTTGAATTGTTATTTTTCAATAGTTTTATACTGTTCAATTTTGCAGTGAGTCAAAACACAAATCAAAATTATTAACTTTATTCTTATCAACCATAGTTTTCACTTTATATAAATTATATATATATATATATATATATATATATAATTTTTCTAAATAAACCCTTTATTAATTTATTTACTTGTTTATTATACATAAAATTATATTTTCTGATGATTTTTTTATATAAATAATATTTTTTTATAAAAATTTATTCAAATAAAATTTTATCAAACCATTTACTCAATTATATTTATTTATTTATTAATGTACAAAATTATATTATCAAAATATGTATTTTACGATTTTCTGACAGTTGGCAACAGAAAAAATATAGCCAAATTTCAACCTTTTTTTTTCTTTTTCCCTTTGTTAACAAAATATACTTAAAATTTTACTCATTAATTGTTAATTTATTTAGAGTTTTTTCCGTTTTTTGAATTGCTTTTTGTTTTCTAAAAAATAATATATTTACCCAATTTTGGGAATTTATTTTACATAAATAATATATTGTTAAACGAAATTTAATCTTTTGATAAGTTATTTATGTAATTATACTTATTTATTATTTAGATACCAAAATTGATTTTTGAAAATAAATTTTAATATAATTAAATTTCAATCATGTTTCTATTTTTATGTTTTGTAAAAAAATCTCAAAATTTCACCAATTAATCATTTATTTCAAAGTGAAAAAGCAGAAAATATGTGCTTAAAATAAATGAATAATTATTTTGTAAAATTATTTTTTCCTATGCTAATGCACAAAAATCATAAAGAAAGTTTTGTTCTTGAGAATTTAATTCTATACCCGTAAATAAATTTTATTGAATAAAACTATTTAGATTATTTTTTATTTATATCAGAAGATTAGGGTCCTCAAGCATCTCCACTTCAAATTATGGTGTCTCTTCTATGAGAATGTACTCAAAATTTTAAGTCTTTGATGGTAGAGGATTTTCTTGGGAAAGGGGATTTTTCTGGGAGACGAGGGGTCATGTACCCCAAAATTTTTTGTAATTTACGTCTTCATTTATTATTTTGATTCCCCCTATTCAATTATTATTTCCAAAGTTTTATAATTTATAATTTATATTTATATTTATGATTTTAGTTTCTTTAAATTATTAATTACATTTATATTTATAATTTTAGTTTTCCTAAATTATTAAATATATTATTAATAATATATTATTTTATCCACAAAATTAATATTTTAATGTAAACAATTGGCAATATTATTTATATCAGCAGCAATATGATAACTTATAAAACTTGGTTACATAGAATTGTATTTTTCTTGAGATACTTCTGAGTAAGCAAGCACCTGCACCCAGGGTTTGTCTAGAGAGAATGCATGAGATTAGATTCCATATCAGCTTTCCCAGAATTGATATATCAACTTGACGTGCTTCACGAATCCCTAGCCCTCCTTCATGTTTTTCTCTGAAAAAAACTGGACAGCAATATTGATCCATAAGTTATTGGTCGAACAGATCAACCATAATCACTAAAATAGAATTTTATTATTTTAGTTTAAACTTAATTCAATTATACAAAATCCACTAATAAAATGAAAATTATTTCTTCCTGTATTTTGGTTATACCATGTCTATATGTATAAAGAAAATCAGTAGGACGGAATCAGTTGCTTAAATCAATTTCAGCACTATAAAGAATTAATAATCTTTTAACTCCTTCCCGAAAGATTCCCCAGTTGAATAAAAAAACTAAAAATCTTCAGACAAGAAATATGGATATTTGGTGGATAGAGAGAATGTGAAATAGATCCTACACTGAGGGTCAAGTCTCGGAAAGAAAAGAAAAGAAAAGAATACCTGTCTTCCCCCACAAGGCAGTTGAGTTCCAAACCGGGTACCACATGCAAAGTATATTTGACCTTGCTTGCTCTCCTCCAAATAGCACTCCATGACAAACCTAAAAAGTTTCCTTTCTGAGGTTCTTCTATATATATTTCAGGAAGCACCTACATGTGGCTAATGGATAACAGGGCAACTTACTCATAGAAGGGAAGCCTGACAACAGATTTTGTACTGCAATGGAGAATTTTTTGAATCAAATGAGGTTAGTACATCTAAATCTTCACTGGCAAACATGATTTGCAATTTCATTCCAGTCATATTTCAAGCTGAAATGTGAACTCTTAATAGAGAGATTTCTGTTTAAATATTTAACATATGGCTGTGAAAGCATGATTGCTTTAGCTATTTTATCAAGGCTAGTTTACAACAAATTAAATATGAACCATTTGAGGTTAGGTATCAGATCAATAAGAAATTATTACGTTGTCCAAGTCGACCATTATTCCCAACATTTTTACTGGACACATAGTTAGGTTTTATTAACTCTTTCTCATAAGTTAAAAGGTCGAGTACATGTCATGTGAAGATCAGTCAAGACCATAAACAGGTAGCTATCCAGGCCATAATAATTATACAAGAAATTATCGTTTTTCTCCTTCTTGATTGTAGTTAAATGCATGCATAACTAAGCATTTCACTCAACAAATACGTTTTCATATATTGTATAAAATCACAACTACTAAAGTGTTCATAATTATTATTTGCTTAAATGAACACTTTTGTTAGGGTGCCATTTACTGGAGCAGAGGAGAACAAACCTGGTCTTGGTGGCACCAGGGATTCGAAAATACCAATACAGAAAACTCAATCTTTCAAAGGTAATGTTTTTGAAAGAATATTTCTTCTTCCATTGAGGTCTTTATTATCTGTATTACCATTAGCAAATTTGGCAAGAAAGAGTGTTATGGTGTAGAGGTCAAAAGGAAGGAGCTGAAAGATTGTAATATGCTGTAAACCATTAACCATAAATAGGGACTAAAAGAATAAAGGTAAAAATATAAAAATTGGATATTCCATTTGACCACATACTGAAAATATGAATGAAGATATTGTTATCTTTCTGTCAGTTTTTGGCTTAAAATTAACGAGGCAATTGGTTAACAAATTCAGGTGATAGTTTCAGGAGAAAAAAAACAAGTTGGCCAAAATTGGTTCCAGAAACAGTTTGCAAGGAAAAGGAGTGGTGATCATGAGTCTAGAGACATGGACCATGCCGCTGCAGTGGCTGCTGCTGCATTTGCAATTAATTTGCTAGAAGTCTCTGAAGAGAAGAGTGACACCCCGAAGGCCTCATTGGAAAAGACCAAAAGCAAGGTGGATGGCACAAAACCTTCAAGATCCCTACTTAGTAGTGCATCAAAGCGATTGTCAGGTAACGATAGGGATGTAGAACTCCACTTTTCAAATAATATTTACCCTTTTGAAGGGTTCTCATGGCCGATGATATTTTTGAAGATTTATTCTTTAACTGGATCAAATGACGTAGTATAACTAATTTAGCTGATTTCACTTAATAGGACAAGACTAAGGTAGGAAGTTGTACCCTTTGGGGGGATTCGCAAATTAAAGTAACTTTGTGTGCATCATGTTCAGGTTCATTCAGGTCAAAAGATGACCAAGGTAAGAAGACAGTGGAGGCAATTTCCCTTGCACCATCAGTGAAAAAGACTTCGACTTTCAGTGATGAAAAGCCTGAGACTTCAACAAAACCTGATCTTGGAAGACGACAAACTCTTGGTGAATCTTTCGAAAGGCACATAAAAGCAGATGAATGGGAGGGAACCAAGCTTCAAGAGATCAGACAAAGGTATATTTTGGATGTTGGGTGTTTATATTATATTGAATTTCTACCAAAAAAAGCTGCTCAACCAGAATTTGAATAAATGCATTACAAGCAGTTTTATAACAATATAAAAGAAATTGTCAGGTACGACAAGTTGAGAGAGATGATAGATTCATGGGAAAACAAGAAGAAGATGAAAGCCAGACGCAAGCTAGACAAGGAACAGGTTTCACTCAGACATTCTTTATACCTTATGCCTAACTGAAATTAGACTCAATTAAGTTTTGGAAGATTCTATTATGCTATAAACGTTTTAGAGTATATACATATCGTTCTTCAAATTTTTTGGTGAATAAATAGTATGGAAGCTGGTTGCTCCTCCTGCATATACTTTTAAAGAAAACAACTCTTCTAACACAAACTACATTTTTCGGGCATGCATGCGTGTTTAATAGTCTCGTAAGTTACACTTGAAAAATGTGATCAAATAATACAGAAAGAGTTGTTCCACCAAAAGTACACACGTATGAGATGTGATTCAGCATATCAGCATTTGATTCATCCAACAGCTTAAAACATGATATGTCTTTAAATTCATATGCATTCAAGCTTATATTTAAATTGTTTATAATCAAACAATTTATTTGACCAAGTATGCTGATCTCTGATCAAATTTCATTAAGCCCTTAAATGCTTCCACAGCCAATGTTAGATTTTAATTATTTATGATGCTATGGGCAAAAACAATGACATTTCTAATTTGCATTGAACAATTACAATAAAGCATAATCATAGGGATAATCACCTAATGCATCAGACGTTATAATTTGGAGAGCAGCGCACTGTGGAACACGGCTAAAAAATGTTTGAATAAAATTTTAAGCCATAAAATCAGTATGTGATTCCTAATCACGATCTTCTAAAACTGCAGAGAGGAGTGCAGCAACGAATGATGAGAGCTTTGGATGATTTTGAATATAAAAATAGATGTATAGATCAAATTGCAGATGGCGCGAGAACCAAGGCAGAAGAAAGCCGGAGGAATGAAGAACAAAAAGCAAAAGAGAAGGCAAATGTAATTCGATCAACAGGCAAAACGCCAGGAATTTGCTTCTGCTTCTGAGATCACCAATTATGTAGTATCATTGGGTTTGGGGAACTAACAGAGATCTAAATGTGTTACTGAAAAATTGGAAAAAGAAAAACTGAAGAGTTGAACAGATACACGAGCTTCTTCTCGTGTAAATTAATTACAGTTTTTTTTTTAGATTGTAGTTTTGGTAAAAATGAAATATTACCCCAGTTTGAGTGTCAATTTAATTTTCACCAAATGACAGGCTAACCAATAAACTGATTTATCATGCATGAAACTACATGTTTAATTGTTTAATCAGACAAACCAAATTATTTCCCCTTAGTTTCACTTTCAGCAATTGGACCAATTTAACTGAGCAAGACAAAAAAGACTGGAGGCCATTAGAAAATTTCTCTGAAGGCTAACATCATAGCAATGAATAAATAAAAAGGTTTTGAATTTAAGAAAATCCAGACAATAAGCATGGATGGGATACTAAGATTGCTACTACACGCGCCCTGTTTACACAAACAAAAGAAGAATCTCAAATAAGCCGAAACGAGATTTAAGCTCAGGTCAAAATCAAGCCTGGAATGATGGATATTGCATGAAAGATTTTCTACAAGTAAACACATAACCAGTCATTTGATACATAAACTTTTCGGCGTGTGAACCTTGTTCTTTGTACAAAGTATTTCATTACGCACTTCAGAAAAAGGATAAAAGGGAATTAATAATCAAAATACAACTGCCGAAAAGTAAAATTCCTCTCCAGATTTTCAACATATAGTGGACATGAATATTACACAAAAATTACGAAAGATATAGAATTATAAAAATATGAAAACCTAAAAGTAAAAAGAAAGAGATTACCAGAGTACAACAATCAATCCATAGAAATATAGTGAATTTGAGGCAGGTGGATTGACATGATGTAACAGTCTGCTGAAGGCTATATCTTAAGATGTAATTTCGGTTATCAGCCTCTGGATCGTAGGGTATGCAAAATACAATACGAGGAACGATGGTATAGCAAAAAGAATAGTGACTAGTAAGTAAAGGATTAAAATAACAGCACTGCACGGAATTGCAAAAAGGGCAATCAGAAGGAAAATAACGATCAATGGGAACTTGGATGTAAAGTGAAGGAAGAAATCCAGATATTTATAAAGGGAAAAGTAGTGTCTCTCTCCACTGACACCAACATCACGGTTAGATCCCACGTGACTAGAACAAGGACTGATTGAGCCCCTTCTTAGGTTACAATTACTGACTTGACTTCCCAAAAGGTTGCACTTGAGAGACCACATTGGTTGAATGTCCCCACAGGAGGCAACAAGCTTATGCCTATCACCATTCAGACTCTCGACCATCCAAAGCAGGAAGAAGTTCTTGCAAGGATATTTAAGATTTCCCTTGTAAATGATCCGGAATGATAACAAATGGCACCATGGACAAGAAATGAAGAACGGGATCCTGATTTGCTGAGTAGGAAAATTCATCACAGCCCATTGCAGTCCTAAGACACAATTTTTACAGAGGGTGTGGCCACACCACAAGACATAGGGCACATTCTCAACTATGTTGAACGATTCCCAGCATATTGGACATTCTAGTCCTTCGTCTCTGCTGGCATTGGAACAGACCTCATCATCCGAGCATTCTGCACTAGTTTCACTTACATGTTTGGAGCCTCTTTTCATTCTAATGCTTGTAAGGGCATTTGATGCAAAACTCCACATCATGAAAGATGAACAAATTTATGATGTAATAGCAGTAATCATTGAAGCCATTGTGCAAAATAAAAGCAGTTTCTCACGAAACTGAGCCTCAGCATTTTCTTTTAACCAGTTGACTAGCGAGCCCCTTCAAGTTTCATCTCAATCAAAATCTACAAAAAAGAAAAAAAAAACTCTAAATTATTGCATGACTGCTTGAATACAATTACTACTATCTGAATATTTAAATACAGAAAGAAAAACAAACATAATTTCCAACAACTATCAGCCATCAGTGTGTATACCAAAATTTTTAACAACCCTTCTAACAATTAATCTATCAAGCATGGTCTGACATCCAAGAAAAATAGAATTATTAATAGAACTATAAGATTCTTTCTGAGAATTGAAAACCCTAAATGTTTGCATAGTTCTAATGTGCATGCATCATTAACAACAAAATATAGAAGTTGAGGAAAAAAGTGTGGACATGATTGTTGATCACACCGTGTTTCTCCCATTTCTAAGAAGCATATTTTTTAAAGAAAAATAATTAAGTTTATTCTAAACGTTAACAATCCAGGCCAAGGTTTCAAAAAAGGTCCACAACCACAATTTCAGCCACAATGCCAAGGTTGTATGGCTCTCCGCAGCCACATTGGCCATATTGGTCGACAAGTTTCCACAATGTCAAAGATCACAACAGAACGGTGACCACAATTTAAAACCTCCATCCAGTCAAAGTGTTAATAAAAAATTGTCAACTTACAGCCACCAAAAAGTACCATAGCACCGCGCCATACCACTACAACTTGTAGTTACAACTAACAGAAGGCAAAGATAAAACAAATACAAAAATTTTGATGATCAGTTACTATCTTCATTGGAAAAACAACTTTTCACTCGATGAGCAGCACAGTGCATACTAAGTTTTAAAAATCAGTTCGTGCTGTAATTTTGGTCACAACATCGGGGTTCTTCAAGTGTCTGGCGACCTCAATGCGATTGCAATTGTGACCCGATTGGCTGCATTTATCTTTAATTTCCCGCAATATAGCAAACCACGACTGCAATTGAAAACCCCTAGCATTACTCTAACACAAATGTCAAAAATGAAAAGCCGCACATTAAGTCACGTGCCATTGTCAATTCAGAGGAACAGACGAACATAATCACCATGAATCCGTGATCGATCAACCGCTTTAACTCAACAAAGAGCAATCACATTTCAATGTTCTCAACGAGAAAGCTGGTAAAATAGCATCGTAACACAACTCAATCCCAACATAACGATCTAGCAAATTCTTAAAAAATCGAGATTAAGTAAAAAATTTAAAACAAACAAAAGCAACTCACTCCAACTTCGTTTTTTAAAAATTAGCGTGGGACCTAAAATCCATATCGTAAAAGCGAAAATGCAAATTCCAAAGGAAAATATAAAAAACTCACCATTAACGCGATTTCACTTTCGGATTTCGCTAGGAGTGATGAAATGCAGCGAATCTTGAAAGGGTAGAAGAAAGAGCAGATGTTGAAAGAGGAAGATCGAGCTCTCTCTTTCTCTCTCTGCCACTCTCTTTCTCTTCAGCTGTTTCAAACAGCATGAGGACAAAAGGGAGTATATCGAAGAAGGGAAAATTAATAGATAGGAGAAGGAGAGAGAAACGACGTCGTGAAAAGAGGTTTTGAAAGATTTGTTATAATTGAGTGGAACAAGGAACACTACCGCGGTCAATTCTGCGTTTTCAACGGATTTATATCTTTTTTATTATTATTATTATTATTATTATTATTATTATTATTAAATATTAATATATACATGATGAAAATGAAGATAATCATTTTATAATTGATTTCCAATTCGTCATGTATTTCAATGGAATATAATCATTAGGTCAAACATAGTATTTGATACATCATATGTTTTAGACATAGTTTTGTTTTAAAAAATGTTCTAGAGGTTTAAAGAATAAGAATAGATATAATTAACATAATTAATACTATGACTTTGAAATATGTGAAAGCAAGATCTCAGTTGAAGGTTAAGACGTAATTAATAAGTTAATCACACATATCTTGTCAGAAACTTTCGAAGTAAGATCATGTACTACGGTAATAAAAATATAATATTTTAATAATTAAATTATAAAAATACAAGTTATTACAAGACCTTATGTTTTAAAAAAACTTGTAAAAATATATTATAAGTTATTTAAAAATTAAAAATTATATTACAATATTATTATATTCATTTTCTTATTTTTCTTTTTCGCGTTTTCTCATGAGTGTGTTATTGTATGATAAATGAGAGTTTATGATGAATTTTGCAATGTAAAGAGGATCTTCTTTATAGAGAAAATCATATGTGATTATTTTGTTTTATCTAGTAATCTATCTGTTAGTGGCAAATCGAGGAAAGTGATCAAAATTGAAGGAAAGAGATGCCTGGATAAGATTCATTCGACGTCTAATTAGAAATACGTAGCATACAACATCGAGGAGCACGATCGAGAATCGAATGAATAATAATCAAATGATCTGTTGTCGAATAAAAACTAAGTCATATAAGACCAGGGTTAAAAAGGAATTGTAAGCAATTCAAAGTTCTCGAAAAATACCAGAATCGAGAGTAAAGAAAGCCAACGTGGACATCGAGACTTTGGCCAAATCGTGAAAGGAAGACGAATGCACGTATAAAGAGCGAGTTTTGAAATCATGGGAAAAAGTCGGAGATCGTGAGAACGTGGGAAACTACGGAAGATAAAGCTGCCATACGCACGTAGAACATGGTAGCAGTCGTGTTAACTGCTCTCGGAAGGCTTGAAGGATGCCCTATAAATAGAGCAAAGGAGGAAGGAACAAGGGAGCAAAAATTGGCAGAGCACAGAACCAGTAGTGAAAAGTCTACCGGAGAAACGACGAACACCATGAAGCTTCTGGCGGTCTGGATTTTCCTGCTCACGGAGTACATTTATCGCTTTCTTTATTTTCCTTGGTAATTTACTTTGATGCATCTTAAATTCAGCGGTTTTATGATTATGTATTTCGATTCCTTGTCCATTTCAATTCAATGAAAATTTGAGTTTCTGCATTTAGATTTCCTGTTATTTAACATTCTGCAAATCTCAATTTCCTGTCATTTACTTTTCTTGCAATCTCAATTTCTTGTCATTTATATTTGCTTTGTTTTCGATTTCTCGCTATTTAAAATTAATGCAAGTTTGGGGTTCTCGCATTTTACATTTCCTCGCAATTTAATATTCTGCTTTTCGATTCGATAGTCTAAATGTTTTCGATACAGAAACACCAAAAACAGCATTTTCGATATCCTGGAGTTTTCGATTCTGATACACGTTTTCGATTGAAAATCAAATTGCTAGCCTAAGCAAAAAGAGCTTACGTGGTAGAATTTTGATTAGGACCAAAACACCCTTAGAATCGAAATCGATCGAAATTCCACTAGAAACAAATTGGCACGCCCAGTGGGACTTGTATTGAGAAACACAAAATTGGTTAGTTCGAGAGTGTATGAGATTAAGAAGTGAGAGAGTCATGAGTCAGAGTTCATCGAATAACCAGGGTAACAGCGAGGGATTAAATGGATCACACCCACCAAACACTGGGGGGCAAAGTCATAATGGGAATATACCTGTAGTATCGACAACTGTAAGCATGTCGATACCTGTGAGTAGTGAACAAAATTCAGGTACATTAGCAAACACCCAAGGAGGATCTAATACGGTGATACCAAATAATATGCAAACTATGGGAAATCCCACAACCACGTATGTAGGGCCACGTATGAGTGTAAGACCGCCTGGGTTTTCACTTAATAATGTGAGTGAGGCTGGAACTTCTTCGATGCATAGGAATTCGAGATATAACTTAGGAATGTCTCAAACATTAGGTATGCCACAAAATTTTGGAATCCCTCCGAATTTAGGGTCACAAAACTTAGTAATTCCACAAGATTCAGGGAATGGACAGAATGTAGGCACACAACAGATACCTCCAAATCTAGATCAGAGGGGATACTTAGATCATGGGAAATATGTATTCGATAGAGACTATCATCGATCTAATTTTGATTCTATCGAGAACATGGGTGTCGGAATATCTAGTAATTCATTAGGGGTACTCAGACAACAAATGGATGAGAGTAATTTTGAAATGGTAAATATGTTATCACAACAATTGACTACAGTCTTAAATCCATTAGTGCAAAACACTACTGCTAGCTTTGAGATATTAGCAGACCAAATGTCACGAATCGGGGATGCATTGGCTGTGCCTCGACAAACGAGGGTAGAAAATCATGTTAACCAGAATGCTAACGTTAATCCCCCATATTTGTTAAGGAGAAATCGGAACAATGATCAGCAAATAGGGAATGAATATCAACATGTGAGGAATGATATTTATGGAAACCTGAATGAGGGACTTCAAAATATGCGTAATCAAAATAATATGCAATATAATCACATGTTAGGACAAAGAATGAATATCCAAGGGATGGATTTAAGACCACCCAATCAGACATATTTTGTGTCTCCCTTTCCAAATGTGATTCTCGAAACAGAATTGCCTCGAGGATATAAAGTACCCAAATTCACCAAATTTGCTGGAGAAGTTGGTGAATCGACTATCGAGCATGTAGCTCGATATCAGATCGAGTGTGGAGACCTAGCGATGAGTGAGGAATTGAAAATGAAATATTTCCCGAGTTCTTTGACTAAGAATACTTTTACTTGGTTCACGTCATTGCCACCTAATTCGATATATAATTGGCTGCAATTGGAAAGAAATTTTCATGAACAATTTTTTAGAGGAGAAACTCAAGTGAGTCTCATCGACTTGATGAATATAAAAAGATACAATCATGAAAGTATAGATGATTATTTGAATCGATTTAGACAAATGAAATCGAGATGTTTCACTCAAATTCCTGAATATGAATTAGTCAGAATGGCCTCTGCAGGTTTAGAATTCTCGATTAGGAAAAAATTAGTCAATTTACCATTAAATGA